GGTGGGTTTGAACTGACAGCCTTCTAGTTAGCAGTCAAGTGCCTTAGCCACTATGCTACTATATAAATATATAAATCTGTGTGTTTTCAATTCATCACCACAGTGAGTTTTAGAGAACAGGTAATCAAAATTTTGTGGATAAATGCTTTATACTATGAAGCAATGAAATGTAGCAAAAAGAACTTGTCCATGGCTTGCTAAAGGAACATCTAGACATGATCAAGGAGTAGACATTTTATTGAAAGTAGAGTAAAAACTCTGATCTAATTTTTTAATTAAATCAAAGAGCTAAGGAAAGAGAAAACAAAATCAAACAAAGAACCCCTCTGAGTTCTCTACAGAAAATTTGAGTGTAGCTTGGAGAGAAAAGAATTCAATCATTTCTCTTTATCCAAACAGGTGTGTGTATGCCAAACTTGGAACTAGCCAGAAATGTCCTAGGGAACTAGGGCAAGATTAGAATGAAACACAATTTAGTCAAAGGATTACAGGAACTCAGGATCCACTCAATCTGTGATCACTGGAGTTATTTCTGAGACTGTAGTTTGGTGGAGAGAAAAGACCATCAGATTTCTGTTCTGGAGTTATTTCTGAGATTGCAGCTTGGTGGAGTAAAAAGATTGTCAGATTTCTGTTCTGGAATCGGGCAGGTGATCCCTTAATATAACTTCCATTTTCTCATGGGTACAGAGAACACTTCTTACCTATTTTGGGTTCCCATGAGATCACCTGCATGAAAGTCCTTGTTTGTTTGCACCTGCTTGTTAACCATTACCTTTGAGAGAAAGCTCTATGTGAGCCAACAGTTTTCATTTGATATTACTCTAAATACTTAAAAAAGTATCTTTAATAAAAATTCTGTAAAATGTTTGAGTAAAACTGTAATTGTTGAAAGCTTGATGTAGGAAAACTGTATTGCGTTTTATCAATTCAAAGATAAACAGAAACTTCAAGTTATATGCTATCAAAGGTCACCATCTAGTGGCCCAAAATATTGTAACTTTTACATTTTAGATGCAAGCCCAAAGCACAACTGAGGCCAGGAATGTAAGGAATGTGGGATGTATCCAGCCCCACCCAAGAGAGGAGGGAAGAGGGCATTCCAATTTCAAGTTACAAACAAAATGAACAAAACATTGTGTCTTTCAAACCAACCAATCGGCCAAATCAAGCTTCAGCTTGGGGCTTCAGGGCACCGTCAGAATATGAGTGGAAAGTTGAATGTGACAAAGTGGTCTTTTTTGGGAGATGTGTATCACTAAAAGACCCAACAGACTTTAAAAATTATCTTGAACAAAATCATTGTTTCTCAGGAGGACTTTGCAATAGAACTTCTGCCTTGTTTATGGTAGAATTATTGGTTTGGCTCCTCTATGACACTTGACTGCTAACCAGAAGGCTGGCGGTTCAAACCC